CATGCCAATCGACTGGAAAGGCTAGTGAATTCCCATGTGAGGAAGTGGCTCGGTCTCCCCAAATGCCTTAGCAGCGTCGGACTCTACAGCGACGGAGCCCTGGCACTTCCAATTTCTAGCTTGGTTGAAGATTTCAAGTGTGCCAAGGTGAGACTGGATATGTCTCTCACTGACTCCCAGGACCCTGTGGTGAGAGGCACCGCTCCCACCCTAGCAACAGGAAGGAACAGCCGTGCTACAGGCCAAATCTGCTCTTCTCCATCGTGACTTGGTGGGCCATGTCCAAAAAGGCAGAGGAGGCTTTGGCCTAGGAGCTGTAAAACCTCTCTGGCAAAAGGCATCTGCAACCGAACGTCGAAGCATGGTGGTAGAGGAGGTGCGCCAACAGGAGGAAGCAGCCAGATGCTCCAAAGCCGTAGCACAAGCCAAGCAGGGTCGCTGGATGACGTGAGAGGGGATCGAGAGGAAAAAAGTCACATGGAGCGAACTCTGGGGCATGGAATCCAACAGGCTGAGCTTCATTGTTAGAGCTATGTATGATGTACTGCCCTCTCCCACAAACCTGAAGCTATGGTTTGGAAAGGACCCATCCTGCCCCCTGTTTACAACTCCTGCAACACTCAAGCACATCCTGGTTGGCTGTAGGACCAGCCTTACTCAAGGCAGATACACATGGAGACATAACCAGGTCCTCAGGTGTCTAGCCGACAAGCTAGAGTGTGAAAGGGCATCCATCAATGCCCAACCCTTTAACAACCAGGATGTGCGCCGACACCCACCTTTGTTCGTTCGAGAGGGGGAAAGAGTGAGGGCTAGCCGCTCAAACCCTGATCTCACCCCCTGAATGTAGCCAGGGACTGGCAGATGCGAGTCGACCTAAGTCAGAATCTCATTTTCCCTCCAGAGATTGCAACAACCAACCTGCGACCAGACCTCGTTCTCTGGTCTAAGTCCTGCCGGCTCGCCTTCATCATAGAATTGACAGTTCCCTGGGAGGATGCCATCGAGAAGGATGCCATCGTATGAGCGCAAGAAACTGCGCTATTCCAAATTAGCAGCTGAGGCAGAGGACAGAGGCTGGAAGATAAGGGTGCGTCCGGTGGAGGTGGGGTGTAGGGGCTTTGTAGCCAGCACAACAGTGAAGCTTCTTATGGAAATTGGAGTTAGTGGGCAGGGTTACAGACAAGCCATCAAAGAACTGGCCAACACCGCAGAGAGGACGAGCCATTGGCTGGTGGCTGAAGAGGAGCGAAACCACCTGGGCTGCTAAGGCGAACAGCTAACCACGGGACACACACCCAGGCTTGATCAACCTGTGGTGGGCCTGCCTCAGCAGAGGGTGTATTGTGATAATTGGCCGAAACACCCTGTGATGCTGCGGTACACAACTGATGATGTGTCCCGCTGGTAAAGCCTTATAGCAGCCATCCTTCAAGATCTTCCGAATTAGAAGTGGTGCAACATTAGGGATTGCAACATCTAGTCCTTTATCAATCCTTTGTGATGTATTCAGTTAAATAAAACACTTAAGGGATGATAGTGTTGATGATTTACCTTGAATACGAGCGAGAGTGAGCCAGCAGTGTATTCGTGCATTTGCGCATGGAGAGCAACACATTTGGAAATCCACTGTCTCCTCAAAAGAGTCCGTTTGCAAGCAACAGAAGTCCAGCTTGTGTGACGCACAGTAAACCTGTATTGTTCACTCAACTGCGCATAATAGCAGCAAATTAATAAAAAAAACACACAATATTTACCCACGTTCTGTTTTCTATCATGCGCCATTTGCGATGGCGTAAGATGCACGCAAACGCACCAGGGTTCGATAGAATCAAGTTGAGTGTGAAACCAGACCAACACTGCGGGGGGCGCCGGGAACAAATGCGCTCGGGCTCGGACTGCAGAAAACGAGCCCAGTGTAAAAGCTGTTAAATCAGACTGATCTCATGAAGTAGCGTGAGTATGACACGCCAATTCGTATTTCCATTTTTGGCATGCTATCAACATGCATAATCGCTTTTCAGCGTGTTTATGAACGCCGTTGACTTAACGTTATTACTGTATATATAAATATATGACTTACCTCAACCCCGTCCCTAAACCCAACCGTCACTGGGGTTAATGGCATTTATGACTGTTCCCTTACCAGGAAAGAAAAAGATAGCTCCCCAGATGTAGATGTACATTTTGCTTTTTTTTCGCTCGGACATTTGACGGCATGTATAGATACGCGGAATGACGCGGACGTTAATGGTGTAGACATACACGCGGATAGCTCAAAATGCGTAGAGATAACACGCCACTTGACAGTAGTGTGTATGAAAGTGACATGTATGTTTACGCAAAATTCATGATGTCATGTTGGTTAAATGTAAATGTTTTTTATTAGTTATTAGATTACTATTAGAATATTATTAGAATAGTAGAATATAGAATAGAATAGAATATTAGTTTAGCCAGAATCTCGTCTTTTCCCTCTCCGATAAAGCTCAAACTGAGGTCCATCCCTCATAGTCTCACAAAATCCCGACAATCGCTTTGACGTCACTGTGGTGGTCGGTATTACAATCTCATTGGACTATGGGACACATATTACAGCATTAATAAACATTTGTTTTCATTGTCGTCAATCAAACATTGGATTTAGACATCAACCCGACTTTTATTTTCAACCAAAATCCAACGTCTGACCGACACTGTACCCAGCAAACAAATTTAGGTTCTGGGAACGTTCCGGGAACGTAAGTTTTTGGTTCAGAGAATGTTCCTAGAACCTTCCCTTAAGGTTAAGGGAACGTTCCCGGAACATTCTCCTTACATTATAAAAATGGAACCTAAAAATAATCTACATGGAACGTTCCTATAACGTTCTTGTTTGGTTCCCAAAAAAATAACCTCATGGGACCATTCGGGAACATTACGGGAATGTTCTGTGTAGTCTATATCCTGTGCCTGCTGGGTTCACGCAGGTTCTACATATAGGTCATTCACATTTTTATAGTTTGCGTTGAGAGAACTTAAGAGTTTTCTTTTAAAATGGTGTCGTGTTAGTGGCCCCTAAGTTAATAACTATAATGGTAAATGGAAAATCCATGTGACAGAAGTGAATCAATCAAAAATAACTTTACTCTAGAGCTGCTATAAAGCCAAAACAATCTCTGTTTCTTTCATTTCTATATTATCACTGCAAAGCCACTTTGGAACAATCTACATTGTTAAAAGCGCAATATGAATGAAGATGACTTGACTTGACTAATGCAGGGGCAGATTATTATTTTGATATTTAACAAAACTTGACAAGTTTTGATAATATAAAATAAAAAAAAATAAGTTGTTTATTTGAACAGAATAAAAACCTTTATGTCTATCGAAAGTCCCCGTAAAACATGAAAACCCTTTGTGTGTGTGTGACTGTGTGTGTGTACAGCATCAGTGGGAGATACAGTTTACTGAACAAACTCTGCAGGCTACAGTTAACAAGTAAAACAGGAAACAAACTGCAGGGAGGAGGAGCATTTTAGCACAAACAACTATAGTCAAAGAAAAGGTGAGCTCAAAAACCACTCTTCTATTTTTCTGCAAATTTCTTGACGTTTCATAAATGTGTGTGACCTATTAATGTTTTGTGCTGTGTTTGTTATCTAAAAAGCATTATATTGGATTTGTGATCCATCTGGAGTTGGAGTTTTCTTAAGATAGCAGAGGAGCCTTCAACATCTATATGTAAGAATGTCGTCATTCTGACAAATGTTGTTTTGCTAAATTGAGTTTATTCTGATATTGTCCTAAGAAATTAGTTTTTTGCTTCTTTGATTTTTATGAAATATAGTTTCTGTTGTCATAGTCCTGTAACCATCTTAGAGTTTTGTGTTCTTTGTCTTTTACACCTAACACAAAATAATATAATAAAATAAATATCTCAAATATAATGGAAAACAATGAGATTAACTTGATAACTTATATTTATTGAATGTATTACTAGCCAGATTTTATGATTAGGTTTTAAACTCTAGTTATAAGTTTGCTTTGAAGATAAAAACAAGTCTTTGCATTAGAGCTCTGTAAGACTGAATAGGGATCAGTCATACTTTAAGGGCAGAGATATAAGATATATACACATTTTAAATAATACATATATGGGCAGTCCTAAATTAAACTTTTGATGTTTGTCAGAGTACTTTGTAAACAGTAACTGCAGTTATACTGGTTTGATTGTCAATATGACTTTTTTTAATGTTTAGAGGGCAAACATTTTGAATGGAGAGATATGGCATAAGAGGAAACGCCTTCTCTTGGTTATGAAGTTACCTTGAGGATAGATATCAGTTTGTACAAATAAATAATATTAAACCTGATCTATCGAAAGTTACATGTGGTGCTCCACAAGGTTCGGTGTTAGGTCCTAAATTTTTTTATATATAGATGATATATTTTTTTAAATGTCTAAAATATTAAAAATGGTATTGTTTGCAATATTGTTTGTATTGTTATCATTTTTTTAAATGTCTAAAATATTAAAAATGGTATTGCAAAGAGGAATGTATATGTTTAAAAAGTAAGAGCAAGAATAGCCTAATACAAAAAAATTGATGTACAATATATATATATATTTTCTCTTAGGACAATTTTCTGTGAGGACCGAAATAAAATAATAATAATAATAATAATAATGAAAATTACTCAACAATTTAATTAATTGTCTACTGTGAGACACCAATGTGTCCCTGAACAAGACACTTAACCCCTAGTTGCTCCCGAGGTGTGCAACCTTTGACATATATAGCAATTTGTAAGCTGCTTTGGACAAAAACGTCAGCTAAAATAAATAAATGAATAAATGTAAATAAAGTTAAGCTGCTGCAACTAGATCATATCACCTCATTTGTTGCAACTCAGCATGACAATAGGAGGAAGGTGGAATTATGTCAGTTTATGTCACCTGTAATGAGAATAATGACCTCAACATACATCTCATTTTATATTTTGTGTCTCTTTCAGAGATGTCGGTGATCAGCTCTGGTCCGGTTGATCCAGTGATCCGGTTTCTTCTGATGGGCAGAAAGGGATCTGGGAAAAGCTCATCTGGAAACACTATACTAGGAGAAAAGAGGTTTAAAGTTCACAAACAGAAAAAGAAACATGAAGCTGAAGTGTGTGAGGGTAAAACTCAGATCAGAGAGAAGCAGGTGTGTGTGACTGATTGTCCAGATCTACTGGATCCAGATCTGAATAAAGAGAAGCTTGAGAAAATGAAAGATCAGCTGGTCTCACAATGTTCATCAGGTCTCAGTGCAGTTCTACTCACCGTTCCTCTAGAGGAACCTGTGGAAAATGAGGAAGAGCTCCTGGATTATATCAAGTTTTTATTAGGCCCTGAAGTTCAGAAGTACATCATGATTCTGTTCACACGTGGAGATGAACTGGAGGATGAGACTATCGATAAATATCTACAAGATCATGCAGATCTGCAGCAACTTGTGACTGAATGTGGAGGAAAGTTTCACTGTTTCAATAACAAGAAGATTGTGGAAGGCGAAGTCTCAGAACTACTGCAGAAGATTGAAGGAATGGTGGCAGAGAATGGTGGCAAATTGAAGAGGAGTGATAGCAAAGAGATTATTATGAGTTGTAAGTTGTTTTGGTAATAATGAAGAGCATCTGCAAACGCTTTAAATGTAAATCTAACACTGATTTTTGTTTTAAAGAGAGTGTACTGAGACTATTGAGATTCATTAAAACAGCACACTGATGAGGTCAGTGATTTGATCTTTCTGTCTTAGTTTCAGATATCGGTCCGGAAGAGATTGATGTGATTCCTGAGAGAAAAGACCAGATCAGGCTGGTTCTGCTGGGAAAAACTGGATGTGGGAAAAGTGCCACTGGAAACACCATCATCGGCAGAAACGTGTTTGCATCTTCAGTCTGTTCAAACTCTGTGACGAATCAGTGTCATTTAGAATATACAGTAAGGTTAAGAAAAGCGATCTCAGTGATTGACACTCCTGGACTTTATGATACTAAACTCAATGAAAATGAGGTTAAAACTGAAATAGTGAAATGCATTACATATGCTTCTCCTGGACCACATGCTTTTATTATTGTGATTAGAGTGGGTCGATTCACTGAGGAGGAGAAAAACACGATAGAGAGACTTAAAGAAGTGTTTGGAGAACACATGGAAAAATATTCCATGATCATCTTCACCCACAAAGATAAGTTAGAAAAAAAAAATAAAACCATTGAAGAGTTTCTAAAGGATTGTGATCCAAATCTTAAAGAACTTGTAAACAGTTGTGGAAACAGATTTGTCTGTGTGGACAATGAGTCTGCCAGTTACACACAGGTCAAAGATCTGATCGGTAAAATAGAGAAGATGGTGGCAGAAAATGGAGGACACTTTAGAAATGACATGTTTGATGAAACGGAGAAACACATTAAAAAGA